CTTGTCTTGGTTTTCATTTAAATCAGGGACGAGAAAGCCAGCTCTCACAGATACTGTATATCTGTATATATGATTGCCAGCTCCACCCTGAATGCACTGTAGCACAACACTGTGCTGTGTATCCATCTCCCAGCAGACGCCAAGCTGTGTCAAAAGGTGTAAGCCAAGTTTTAGCTCTAGGCCGGCAGGTTCAGTCACCTCAGATTGTATCAGCCTTTTACAATGACACATCCATCACTCTCTAACTCTGATGCTACCTTGTTTCTGACCGCACACCAGGAAAATTCATGAGTGTCTCATGTTACTATGACCATTGGCAAGTGTGAGCCATCATGTTGTCAGCTGAGGCTTAAATGCATATTTAACAGGGGTTTAATATATTATAGTCAGAGATGCAGCAAGTCTGCGTAGATCACAGTACAGTATTAGAAATACAACAACCTGGACTACCCAACCTGACTGGACTGGGCATGACTCTCCATGTGTCAGCTATTGTCTGTTGCAATGGTGCAGAAAGCCAGTGAATAAATAATGATGAATGTTGTAGTCCAGTCAGTCTGGACTAAATAGAATTTGGGTCAGGTCCAACTCAGGAACCACACTGTTTCTGCCTCTACAAGTCAGCAAAAGCAAAATGTTCACTGTGTTTATCTTCTCTTTAACAAGCAGTGATAAAATATGTTCTACTCTGACTTTTTACACAGTATTGTAAATAATGCGGATACAAAGTACAAATTTAATGCCACATAGAAATGAATGATTATGTATGCATGCTGAATTCCTATGAGAAAGCAAAGGCCAAACAATTCAGTGTTATTCAGTCTGAGTAAATTGTAGCAACAGCCGCTATCAGAAGTGAGATACAGTTCACATTATATATCATCAAACAATGCAGCGTTTCCTCATTAAGACATAAAGCCAAAAACTCATTTCCATCATAATCACATTCATTATAAGGATTAATCTCCAGACAATTCATTAATCAATTAGCAATTCAGACAGCATAAAAATAATAATAATAAGGATTTAACATTTGCCCATTATCTCATATGTAATTCAACACCTCTATTAGAATTTTCAATTTGCATCTAGCTGAGTACAGCAGGCAAATTGAACAATACAGGGGGCCGTCAAGACAAACGTCTCACTTGACAACTTATTTAAAAGTAATGGACTTCCAAAGACTGTGCTACTGTGAGAAAGAAGAGTTCAGAATTGAATGTGTGTAGACTCATATTCCAGTCACATCAGGAAAAAAAAGTCCTGAACCAAACATTCACCCTAATTTTCTAAATCAACTTCAGATGGTAGGGTGGGGTGGGGTTCTTCCCTAAAGCTTTAAACAACAGAACTTTTAGATGCTGGCACACTGACACAACATGTAGACATGCATGGAAAACAACTGGTCAATACATGCTTCTTACTGATGCCACAACCTCACAGATAATTAATGAAATATTATACTGTACTGAACAAATAAAACTGCATCAAACTGAGGAGCCCTGTGGAAACATTTGGATAATGAAGCAGTAAATAATACTTTACAGCAATGGGAATCATATCATGCTTATACTAGTGGCGTGACTCTCTGTTGGTCAGACTAACAGTAACGGTTCCTAAAGGAAGACTGAGTTTACTGATCCCTTGACTTGCCAATCCCAGCTCACACTGGGCGAACGGTGGGGTACATCCTGAACAGGTCGCCAAGTCTACTACATGGATTGCCTCAAAATACTGTGAATACACACTGACTCTGGTAATCCACAGTGTCACCATGGCGTTCACATTTGTGGTTTTGCATGAAATGTCTTGACAACTGTACACTGGGAGGATTGCGTGGATGAGGCTTACAAACGGAAACATCTATAGTATATTGAGTTAGCCTCTGGAGCAAAACGTCATTGCTGTAACACTTACATCAAGTCCACTCTGTTTAGGTAGGGTGTAGACGTTTTGTGGCAACATCTATCATCTAACTGCTCAAAGGTTTGGGAACCAGACACCAAAACCTGTGTTGAGCAAAACTGCATCAGTGGCAGCAGACTGGTTTTGGATGAAGAGCCAATACCCCTGCTGGGCCGTGAAGCACCAGACAAGGATGACACAGAGCGGAGTATTTCTGACATGCCAGAATACTGTAAAGCCCTCCAGAGACATCGTGGGCTTATTGACAAAACATCAAGGAAGAAGAGTGCCCACTTGAGAACTCCACTGTTGACCATTACAAGACTACCTTGCTGCATCTTGCTGCTATGAATTCTAACTACTTTGGTGATCATGTTTCATCTAGCACCACGATCAGGTTAAACCTTTATACAACTAATGGCATTCCCATCAGCTGCATCTGCACTCTGTGTCTAGTGCTAAGTGGCAAGACGCTGAACCCAAACATCTTACCTGTTAAATCTCAGTATATTAGCATTTCAAATTAAGCACTGCTGTACCTAAACACACTCTCAAAGGGCCACTCGATTCTTATTACATACCTTATATTTTAAAGCTACAACTCACTCTGTCTCTCTCAAAACACACACACGCACACGACAGAGGCCTTCCTGCAAGCAACACATCTGTTTATGCCACTACATACATCTATCAGAAACAAGCCATTCAGCCTCGCCAAGTCTTGGATAATGTACCTACTAATGGCTGGAAATTAAACACACTTTCCCAAATTCAAAGTGCATCAATAATCTTGGATTGACTTTTAAACAAATGCAAATCAGATGTTTATGTGAAAAATGCACTCATCTGTGCTTAGCACTGTAAATCCAATCCTGCAGGCAAGTCTCTTCACCATCTGATTTCGATTAACTCTACCTGTAGCGGTGTGAAATGGCCTCCACTACACTCAAGTGTGCAGCAAAAGTGTCTGATTCACTGTCTCTGTGTGGCTCCACATTAATGAAACATGATATAGTTAAGATGGAATTTTATTTAAACACAACACAGCATTTGTTGTCAGCTGCTTTCGACTTCCATCTACGACTCCATAAGATTATTTGTCCATATATCTGTGTGAGGTATGAACCAGATGGTGTCATGAGAAACTTCAGATGCTGTCATCTGCACTGGCATCACAAACTATCAAAGTGGAAAATGTGCCATTTTTTTATTACCGGTAAATGGCAGTTACTGCCGGGGTGACTGAACTTTGTGCTTTCAGATATTACTTGTGTGAGATTTAGTGCCACTTTAGAGACAAAGTGTGGTCACTCAACTGAGCTAAGCTTTTTTTCTTTTCACTGAACTTTGTATGAAGTCAAAAAAAAAATTTAAACTATTCATGGCATTATTTTTCAAAGCATCCTCACATTGCTTTTAGTATCTACAGGTTTTTGCACAGTACTGGATAGTTCTTTTAAAAATGCAAAAATTGTGCCTGAAAGAGACGAAGCTGCAGCAGTGGAATCACCAACTGCTGATGGCAGAAACAACTTGTGGGGATTTGAGCACACAGTGTTTCTTAAGTCTAAAGATCAGGAGTTTATCATCTCTGCTCTCCCCTAACATAATACAAACTTCAGTTTATAAGCAAGATAAGTTCAAAATATGATCCAAAGACCCGCTCTTTCTTTCTGTTCCCTTGTTATGAAAAAAGAGCAAAACACAAATTTTATAACTTTATTAATCTTGTTACGACACTCTATTTTTATGACAACTCTGCGACAGATGTCTGATCCTCTTGTCTTGATTCACACCCACAAGTCTACGAAAAAGAACTGAGGCTGACGGAGAACCGGGACTGAATCACAGCCTTCTGTGCTCATCTTTTGAATCATAAGCTCTGAAATAAAAACAGTAAACTTCGACTAACAACCGTGAAGATGTTTCGGATCAGAGCTCATTATCTCTATTAATGAAATCATCAATTTTACATCGTTCCTGTACTTTAGATCAGTTATAATAAATAAATTAAAAGTTGCTTGAAACTTAGTCGTGATTTTTTAAACTATTTGTTAACTGTGTTGTCAGTTGGCAGCCTTGACATCTGTGTGTCTTTGTGTGTGTAAATGTCATTAGCACTTGTTCAACACGTCTGCCTTCCTTTACAGAGGTACAGTATAACTTTCTATGTGTGAACAACATGTGCATTTTTCTACATGAATTTATTGGCAGTGACTTATATTTATTACAAAAATTATTTAGATGGTTAGAACACAGTACAGCTGTATACTAAATTATGGACAGAAAACATACTTTGTTGATGCTAGAGGTGCTTGTTAGTTGGTCAGAAGTAGTGGTGTGCTGAAATTTACTGTAACAGATGTCAGTCAAGCTCATTTTACTTCTGAGGTGAAGATTTCTCTTAACTGCAATAAATACCCCCCTATGTTAACAGACTCCAGCTACATAAAACACACATTCATGAATATAAGGACTGAATGGCAATACTATCCTCAGACTTTGTGTAATTCCTCTTCGGGAGGTTTTAGATTATTCTCCAGTCTATAAAGAATGGCTTATGAACTCTACATAGCACTCCTCACAGTTCTCCTTGTGGTCAGGACACAGACCATCCAGCGCTCATCCTACATCTCAATCATTCCACTCAGACTTTCGGTATGTGCCCCCAGTAGCAAATTAGTCTCTGAATAACTAAGCTAATTAGACTTAAACAGACAATAGCTAAATGCTAATTAGTGTCTAATTAAGAGAAATGAATCCACAGCTGCACTTGTTTTCTGTTACCCAAAGTGCACTGGCTATATAATGGCTCCCTTGTCACTGTGATGCTAATTGAAATGGTTTGAATTCATGTTGTGTGACTGACAGTGTAGTGTGACTATACTACATGTTGTGCATCTTGTTTTGTGGCTTTACATGCTTGGGACCATAGTTCTGCAGAGGATAATAAGTGATGCAGCTAATTAATGAAAACAACACACCACAATATACCAAGCTTTAACACCAGAGGACACTTGACCAATAGTATGCAGTGAGTTTTACATTTTTCTTTGTAGTATTCGCTATGATGTTTTTAATAAAGCAAGTTCTTTCTACATTTTTATGCTGTTCACCGTTTGAATAGCATCCCAACACCTCTGCCTGCAACCAGCTCACCCATCATACTTTATAAGTCACCAGAAAACGTGACAGAGGAAGTGCTACTTAGTAGAGATGTCCTGATCTGATACTGAGCATCAGTGCTGATCGGCACATATTTTAGAGGACCGGCATCAGGCAGAATAAAGCCGATCCATTTCCAACCCTTATTTAGAACTACAGTCCTGCATTTGAACAGACTCAGTTATGTTTTTAAGATGTGCGTGTCACACAACCGATAAGCTGCTATACTAATCAATCCTCCTGTCTATACTGCCTGCCAGGCTGGTTGGTGTATTACTTGAACTCCACCAAAAAAGAGAAATACATCAAGCAAAAACAGTTAAAACACACAATCTATCATCTGTTACATCAGTCCTACTGAACATGGTCGTTCTTTGTGTGTAGTTTTTATTTTACTGTGTTTTACCATGGGTTGGATAAACTGTACATATACATGCAAATGTAGCCAGTAATTTCCTAAATGTTTATTATTTGTCAGAGTTTTGGACAGTAGGTTGCCATTTTCCAAAGTGTTTCTGCTCGTCTTGGTGTTTTTGTGCACGATGCGTGAGTAAACACATGCCTGGTATAGACACGTTAAGATATATGCTTCTTTCCAGGGGTGATACGCCAGCTGCCACCTTTTGTTAATGCAGGATTTTTTTATTGTCTAACAGGGATTTCCTAAATTAGACTGGTTACACAAACCGTGTTTTCACATACTGATACGTAGTAGTAGTTAGTATCTGCCTGTAATGAATCTGTAGCTCTGGGAGTGTGTTGTCTAGCAGATAAATGAATCGGATTGCATCAGGACGTCCATACTACTCAGATCTGACAACTCCCCTCAAATACTCTGTTGTTGATAAATAAAAAATGCTGCGATTTCCAATTGCAGTTTCATAAAGGAAATGTGGTCACTGTCATATGAATGAAACAGCTTTAACACAAAATCCCAGCTGATACTGTAAAATTGACCCTAAATAAGATCATTTATTGTGACAACAATCCCACCTGTTTGCAGTCCTGGATATTTTAAAAGCCTATTTTTCTAGAACAATTATTAGTGTATGGGAGAAATAAATAAAATGCCTGCTGGTGTATTTGTTCAGAACAGCGATAAGACAGCCGTTTGTAACAGACAGGTACTAGTCCATCATGGTTCAGTATCACTGACAAAATTCTTGCAGCTTGCAGGACAATAATGAGCACTATTGTATGTCATTATATTCAGCTCTTTTATACCCAGGAAACTAAATTGCATTCCATTGTATCAAAGTCCGTTGTGCTTGTGTTTATAGCTACTTACATTGTATGTCTCCAGCTTGACTCTGTTTTTAAAGATGTGGGTTGTGAAGTTGACTTTATGGAAGACTTCTGCAAATGCAGCCTCGTCCTTGGGAACAAACACAAACACACACACACACACACACAAACAAGATAAACACAAAGTCTGTTAAAGTTAAAGCTCCTGAAAAAATGTAAAGGCAATTTTCTTGTCAAGCGGTGAATAAACTAGTTTAGGCAGAACTGTACATAGCAGTGTATATAAGTTTTGTGTGTGTGTGTGTGTGTGTGTGTGTGTGTGTGTATCTCACTGTGTCTCTGAGCTGTCCCAGTGTTTCTGCACTGTGACCTAACAAGACCTCAGCTGTCTCCTGGAAGCATGTCACCCACTGGTTATCCCCATAGTCTGCTAAGTTGGCCTGAGAGCCAGAAAGACAGAGATGACAAGAGATTATTTGTGTGTGTGATGACAGAAATTACAATGCTCTTCAAAGTCAGCATCGCTGTATGAATGTCTAAAAAGTATTAAAGATGTGCACAGTATGCACTTTGCACTTACAGAAAGCAGAAGTCTGTATTTAAAGTTGGGGAACTCTCTGTTACACTTTTCACAGCGGTACCGTCCGTTCTGTTGTTCTATAACCTTCTTGTTGCAGTCTGCAGATAGACAGGCCTGGTACAGACAATTCTCTTTACGAGTGTACAGCACTGTTGCCACACAGCTGAAATACTCTGCCTGAGAAGAGAAAGGATGTGGACAAAGGGAAGAAATATAATTACAGGGCTAGAGCTGCAAGATCAATAAAAACTACCAAATCACATCAAACTGCTGCAATTTGAATGTCTAAGAGGCTGAAGTTAATTTGCAGGTACTGCCTCTTTACACAATATTGTGCTTAGGATAAATCTAACCTGCAAATCAAATTATATAGTAGAAAGGGCTTCCAAACCCAATGAATCTGAAACACTATCATTTCATTAAAGAAAATGGTTGGACTGCATGTTGTACACTTTACACTTAGTGAAACCCAGTTGCCCCTGCAAAGAGAACGTGGAAGTGGCCGGTGGTCAAATGTCATGCCACCTCAACCCAATCCTGACTAGAATTATTTTAAGGGATTTGTATTTAATTTATCGTTCTTACAACTGTAACTGCAAAAGCAAAATCACTCCGGCTCAAGCTGGGAGAAAAGACAAGCAGTATGATTCACCAGCTAATTAACATTGGCCCACAAAAGCATAATTCACTACAAATATAGTAAACTGACAGAATACAAGACAGCAGTTGTAGGTGGAAAGAGTAATTTCCCTGTTTAACTGGTAACTCTCTTTCATTCGAATGTGTCAGTGGTTGCTTGTAGCACTGGGAAATGTTAAAAACATGAAGACAACTGTAGCTGTCCTTGTGACTGCTCTATATTCACCTTGTTTCATTAAAATTTCAGAACATTTTCTTTGTGGAGTCTAAAACTGTTACCCAGATGATTTCAGTTACATTTTCAATGTGCCAAAAAATAATAATAAAATAGATAAAAACATTTTTAAAAAGCACTGAATGAAGTACAATCTTTGTCTCGCTTTGAGCCAGGAACGACATTAAAAACAAAGAAAGAAATCCCACCCTTCCAGAACAAGTGGCTCCTCTGGCTGTTCATGTTATTAAATTACCAGGATATAAACCGGTGTGATTTTTACAGACTTTAAAAAGGCCCGATTATGCCGGGAGAACAGGCCTGAGTATTGCAAAGACTGTTGCTATGCTTTTCAAAAGCACATATCTTAAACAGTGTACAATGAACAGGCGGGAACAAAACACCTCATCAACTTGTTTGTTATGGAGGAGGCTGCATCTTGGGATATGAACAAGACGCCAGGTGGCTGAGGCCATAAGAACTCAATGAGTAATCACTAGTCCACAGTACAACAGTTAAAATCACAACATGTGATGGGGTACAATGACCAAGCTCGGAACACACAGTGCTTCAAACCCTTTCCTGTGGCGTACAATTGCAGATGACCTGAAAGGGTCTGCTTGCCATAAACTACAATATGTGGGCTTAGAAACATCAACAAAAGACTATTGATTTAACTGATTGATTAAAAAAAAAAAAAAAAAAACAGTCTGGTTTTATGAATGTTAGCACAGTAGTCGAACATGGTGGAAACCATGGCATTAACAACCGCACATGCCATATTCATCCATTCATGACCAGGGGTATCTTTAAGGGATGGGTACTCTGAACAAGAAACCGTTACAACCACTGCAAAAATGGTTCAAGGGTGATTTATGTGTACTGATCATGCAAACACACTGTTGTGATAGCTCCCTGTTCTCTTCCAAGTAGTACTAGTATTCTTTTGGCATTTTCTTGTACTGTAATTGTTGGTATTATAAGTCAAGAAACTAAAGTCTATCAAACTGAAGTGAGGAAAAAAATACAGTATGTAACAGACTAGTTGGAGCAAAAGTGCTCCTTGTAGTGCAGGCTGGATAACCTTCAGCAGTTTTACAAATGCAAATAAGCTGCTTAGGGTCAAAAAGAAATATTAAATAAAAAAAATAAACAGATCAAACTTGGCATCATGAGTAAAATGGCTGCCAACAAGGCAGTCCAGCTGGTATATGCAGGCTGTTTACACATCTCCATTTGACTTCCAAACAATCTTGGAACAGTTTAAAAAGAGAGTGGAGGGAATTTGAGAATTGTATGCATAATAAATGCAAGATGAGATTAATCCCTCTCTCCCGCTCTAATACATAAATTGTGCTAATGTACACACACACACACACACACACACATTTGTATTGCTAGTGTATCTTTGTGAGGACACTCACTGACATAAGGCATTCCTTAGCCCCTTGCCCTAACCATTACAATTAAATGTTTAACATCAACGCTTGCTCTATCCCTAACCTGAACCTAACTCTACCCTTAACCCTAAAACCAAATCTTACCCCTCATACACACCCCTTTCAGAAAAAAGTGGATACTGGCCAAAATGTCCCCACTTCCACTCAAATCAGTCCTCACATTTTATAGCCATACTGACACATACTATACATGACTAACAGTGAACTAAACTTTTTGATATGTATTCAGATTAAAGTGTACATATTCAAACAGAATCTAATTAAACTGCAGAAATGTTGCAGTAATTTAAACTGATATTAGAACCGTAGGCAGCAGAACTCACAGTGGCAAAATCATCAGCTAAAATGGAAAGACATGCTAATTCTGGGGGGAGGCTATTCTTGGCTTCTCCTGTAGAGAACCACAGCATTCAATTTTCATAAATATAAATATAAAAAATGCACACAGCAGATTAACTGTGTCTCATTGAGAAGAGGTACACACACGAACTGTACAGTAAGGCTTGCATGCAAACACTCACACAGAAATAAACAGACACACACACAAGTGCAAGAATAAAGTGATAAATATGATATACATGCAAATTTTAAAAAAGCCACAGAAGAAGCTTTGTCCTAACACCACCAGAGGATGCTTTTTCCAACAGGAGGGCAGGCTTTAAGCAAGATATTGGAATTACAGCCAGAATTTAAAATGAAATGCTTTAAAATGCATTCTTAACAACAACTATAAGCTAGAGCTGGGCCAGACTCATTACTATGTTGGCCTAAATGAGTCTATCAAAGACTCTCTCTAGGATACTGGCCAAATTCACACAGTGGCTGAGCACTGCTGTTCCTTCGCTACACAGCCCACTCTTTCTGTACAGTGTTCACTAAAAGCAATGAATGTAAAAAGGCCAGTGTGTTCACTGAATCCCTTGTGAGATGGTTGATGCTGTCCTGTGTCTCTGTGACCTCTACAGAAACTGTCTGTCAGACTTACAGCTCTGACACTTTCTTTCCACTGGCTAACACTAACACACAGCCTCATAATCTGTCCACCCATCCATCTACCCAGAATCCATGCCACACTGAAGCACTTACTATGAAGGTTTCCTTAATTAGGAGAATTTCTCCCGCTAGCATCAGCCCTCTCCTCCTCAACACTCCGCTCCCTGTTTCCGCCTGCATGCCTGCCTCATCACATTTTGCAGACTTGGGCAGATTGGAGCGCTGGAAGGCTGAAGAGGTGGAAAGGCTGTGGGTGGGGAAGGTGGTAGGAAGGTGGATGTGGTGGGAAGTTAAAAAAACTGGATGCTTTCTTTGGGGGCTTGTTAAGAGCTCATGATGTTCACAGATGCTACAGAGAATGTGAGGATAAAGGTCAGCAGGATCTTGGACCACAGTGATACTATCACAAGCAGACCTTTCTAAATAAACTCTCCTGCATTTGCTATCATCTCTCCACAGCTCCTTCTGTGTTTTGTCTCTCCCTCTGTATGCCAGTGTGCACACAGAAGCCTTGGGGCAAAGTCTAAACCTTAAGCACAATGATGAGAACCTAGAAGCAGCATGACAAACGTTGCACACAAAACCAGATATACAAAAAACTCAAACACACAACAAACGTGAGCAGACTAACCTAATGATTCACACACATGCACACATAAACTCACATACTCCTGACATTCTGAATTTCATTCTTATCACGCCAAATCCCTGTGTCACCTTGTGGCACCTCAATGCAATAAAAATCTGCATGTGGAAGGGCAACCATGTGAAAATCTACCTCACATAACTGATGTGGTTGCACAAGCCAACGTTAACGCTTGTCCCAAAACGCCAACTCACAGACACACACATGCAGTGATATTAATTAGAAATGGAATGCACACTTACTGTACATTCAAACACAGAAACACAGGTGGTATCGTTCATACATGGAGGCAAACAGGTAGATTGTCCAATTAGATCCGTTCAAAGTGCAAGTTTTTGATTTGGATATTATTACAATAACTAAAGCTGCAGCCTCAAAGTGTGGGATAGGCAACCTCCTCAAAGCTGTTCAATTACAGAAACAGTTGGGGGTAAACAAGAGAGAGGAGACTAAGGAAATAAGAGAATGGGAAAAAACAACAACAAAAAAAGGTGAAACAATCTGAGCTTGAACTAGACACACATTCTCACCTTTCAACTCCATTCCCCACCTCTGCCAGTTAACTGTTCCTATCAGTTTACTAATACCCCTCGTCACTTCTCTCAGTCACCAATGTCTCCAAGAGCATACAACAGTTCAATCAATATCTCTGATATAAAAGCATCAGTATCTCCCTCCTGCAGCTAAAACAAGAAAACCAGGACTCTAATCCATGAAGTCATAACAAGGTACAGCCTAGAGCTGCTCCATTTATAATGAATAGAAGACTGACTGTGTATTTGTGCTGCACTAAATGCTTTCAAATCAAATGAGACTGGGAAGCAATCAGATTTAAAATTCACTAATTCCATGTCTAATCACAGAAAATTATTTTTGACAGTTTAAATAAGTGGCCTTCACTATGATCTCTCTATGCCTGAAAAAAATTCAATCAAACAGAGAAACAAACAAAAAACATTCTGTATTATGTCCCTGTAATGTTTAGTAGCAAGATTTGTGTTTGCATGCCTGATAAAAGTTTCTATGCCACAATTTCCTAAATTTTTCCAAATGCATTTTGACAAACTTGCTGTCAGGTGGCTGACTGAGCAAAAACAGTGAAGCTCCAACTCTGATTCTCAGACCCGGTGTTTACTGTGCTACTGTAACAACACAAAGATTTTCTGCCACTAAACTCTGTTGAACTACTGGCTAAGCTGGTGTTATGTCATCTTGTTGGGGTTTCTCTCATTCCTCATCAAACAGTAGCCAGCTGCCTGAGAGAGAAAGTGTTTATCTGTCTCACACATCAATCAGATTTTCTGCCAAATAAAGAACCAGCTCAGAGATCAAATTAAAACTGGAAAACAAGGTTTAGTTCTGGTTCATTTCTATCTGATCTACAGTGTTTCCCCAATTCTGTGATTCAAAACTGAGAAGATGAATTCATCTAAAGGCATGTTCAAATTACAGCGGAAAAACAGCTTTTGCATGCGCACACTGTTGTATATGTGGTGCACTTTGCAGGTTCTGCGCATTCCCTTGCTCCAGCCTTTCAGTTTTGAGGATTTGCCACTCTTCTCTGTTCAATATCATTGTAACATGGATAGGTTTGGGTTTTGGACAGTTTGTTGCAAAACTAGACACAAATTAAGACTCTGGGCTCTGGGAAATTGTCACAGGTATTTTTTTTAAAAAAAATCCTTTTTCTGACATTTCATAGACCAGAGTGGGAGAACAACCACACCACAAATTAAAAAGACATCACTTCAAATTAGATAAAAATATATTTTCTCAGTGTCTATGCAAGGATGTAATTGTGGTTTCATCTGGTCTCTTTTGAATGTCATTGCATTTAATATTGACCTGTTCTTCAGATGAATTCCCAGCTACATGGCTGTGCGAGGCTTTATACTGTATTGTGTGTAAGCACGTGTGCACGGCACCTTCTCTCCGTGTCCCATGTGTTCATCCTTAACGTCGCTCAGTGCTTTCCAGTTCATCTTTGATGCGCTGCTCACTGACCACGTTTCTGTCAGGGATTGGCTGTCAGCAGCGTAGCCTTCGTGGTCATACCTGGACATTGTAAAGCACAGCAGGCATGTATAAATAAATGTATGTGTGACAAAGCTTGGACACCAAAACAAACACATGTACATTCTATACAAGTGACATATGACATATTATGTAGAGTGCACGGAGATGGAGAGAAAGAAGATAAGAAACAGAGGAGGGTTTGTGGATTACAGTGGAAAACACAAAACATACTGACGTGATTAAACTGCAGAAGCTAAAAAGTAACATTAGTCCTCTACAAACATGTGCAGGATTGAATGCATCTCTGGGGAAAACAGGGTATGAAATCAAGTGTTTATTACATGCAAGAATGTGCGACATTAACACACTTTGATTTTGCCTGTGAAGAAGATATCCTGCTGTATTTCACACTGTTCTCTATCTGTTGTTATTCAAAGAAACCATCTTTAGCAATAACTGCATTTCTCAATTAATCCCTTAACTGATGTGCAGCCACTGCATCTCTATCCTGTAATCCCTTTCATCTGACCGACTGTCATGGATAAATGCACCAATCAGCCTTTTACAATATATTTACCTACTGTATATTTCTGGTCATAGACATGGCTTCACTGAGGAATAAAAAGAAAAACAATACTTGCCCTTCTTCCTTCTTGTCTACCCACTATGTATTCATTTAACTTCCTTTTTAATATTCTATTTAAAAATGTTACGCATCAGTATGAGTCCTGATCTGTATTCTAGTTGGGCAGAACATCTAATCAAGGCATCATCCAAATTCATCAGTTTCCTTCAATTATGCAAGCAAGCCAGGTCAGAACAATCCCACACAGCAAAACATAGCCACAGGAACTCGAGTCAGACACTCTTTGTCTTTGTAAAGTGCAGACCTAAATGTTAAATAGGAGTGGAAAACACTCTGCGTGCTCTGTGAATAACATCCACAGCCATTTGTTCACTGTTGTCAGCATGTAAACTGCGGAGAGGACCAAACAGCAGTAGAGATCAGGGGCAAAGCAGGGATTAGAGAAGAATAGGAGGAATGAAGGGAATGAGGGGTGCCTTTTTTAAAGTTATTTAGCCCTTTGAATGTCAGGATGAGATGGTGTATTGACCAGAGACTAATAACACCAAGATTAAAGCTGAAGCAATGGAGCCTGCCCCTCCTCTCTCCCTCTGTAACACGCACAGACAAGTAACTGCTGTATCTAATAAAACGCACACACAAAAAATGGATAAAGCTATTGTTCATGGAGCAATTACTCAATTTATAAAGCAGACATTAACAACTAAGAGAGTGAACAGAACAATGCCCACAGGTACCAGCAAACATGCACCTTTATCGTATTCACTCCGTAAAGCTGTGAGCCTGCTGTTTGATGCAATTTGCTGCCTAAGAATAGCTTCTTTGCAACACACAGGCACTAATACGCACACTGGAGCACTGCTACGTACACGCTCAGAATAAAAAGAAGCATTTATTTTTAGGTAGTGGTCAAACTTGGGAACAGCCTTAATGAGTGAATGAGTCATAATTCAAAATCCGTCCACAGGGACTGCAAATAGGACTACAGTTGTGCCTATCGTTCTGCACATGCAGAGTACACCAGCCATTCAGAGCTGGAATCCAGAATTATCCATGTTCTGCTTTTCTGTTCTTCCCTCCATCCAGTCCTGTCTGCATCCAGTCTAGAGTCCCACTGAGACTGAGGAGGCACCAGCCTCCTGACATGTGATCACAGCTTTGCATTAAGAGTTGGCAGTTTATTTGGTACACCAAGCTAAAACGAATGTTTGTGTTTCTAGAACTGCATTGCTTTATACTGACAGGTGTTTCAATTGTTAATTATCAGAGGCCAGGCTAAAAATGGAAACAAAACAGAAACTGTATAATGCAGTACAGTTTAATATAAACATACAGTTCATTTCTCTCCATCTGAACAAAACCTGAGCATTATCACCTTCTGGAAGAGATGAGTTATTGCAGGACTCTTGTATTAGACTGCATTCATTTTAACTTAATTCAAGTAATACAGAAACAGTAGCATATATTCTCTGTATTTGTAGAACAATCTGTTTGACTGTTTACACATCCTGAGTTTTGTATAATAACTGTCCATGTGCACTGTACGGACAATTTTATCTGTGTGTTAAACGTCCATGTGACTCACCAGGCCCGCAGTCTAAAGGCCTCCGGTATGTCTGGGTTGACCATGACTGTTGAGCTGAACAAAGCAGAGAGAGATCTGCCCCCAAAATCAGACAAACGAGCTCCTTTGATGGCGACCACAGGCTGCCCAGAGTCATCAAACCTCTCCGCCTGGAGAAAGGGGAGAAAAACTATGTCAAAGACTGTAATTAAGAACAAAAAGATGGAGAACAAGAGAGAGCAAGAGCAGCTGCGTTGTTATCTCTTATATGTTTAGTCTATGTCTTCAGCTTGGCGAGTCCAGAAAGTAATGTAGGATAGTTTGCTTTAAAAACTGGACAACCTACAAGTTAATTTGAAAGTCGTTTTTGGATTTTGGTGAAGAGGAGGAATTAGCTCTTGCAGACTGAATGAGCTTAGAGAAGAATAGTGCAATTTCATGCACATTCAAGAATTATTTAGCCTTCTGTCTCGAATCAGGGACTCTGATCCAAAACACTGAAGGTCACAGGGAGGAACTGACCGATCCAAATTTTGCAGTCAAGTAAACCCAAACTGCTCTCTAGGCAAGAGCACACACAGAGATATGTTAAGTGGACTGAAAAATACAAATATTAAATAAATCTTTGTAAATAATCACTACAGTCTGTTTAATATGTTTTTATGTTATATCGCAAATCCATTCCTAGACACAGAGGGAAAGCAAGGAATGGGAGAGGAAAGAGAGGCAAGAGAGACGAGCGAGGGAGCAAGAAGAGTGCATGGAGAGAGAGAGAGAGGGTTTTATTACCTCCTCTCCCCAGAGTGTGACTGTCACCACTTTGCCAGTTGTGTCTATTAGGCTGAGGGCCCTCTTGGAGACTTCTCTGCTGGTCTTAGTGGTGATACGGGATACATCATCTGCACTCTTACACACTCCGATCACATCTACAGGAAGAGAGAATAATTCCTACAACTCCATCTATGAATAGCTCATGAAGACTTACAAGCACATAAAAAAAGGGAAGCAGCATGCGATCTGAAAAGTCTCTATATGGTATTAAGCATAAAAATGGCCCATGGATATTCACTCCATAATGTGAAGTGATATGGCATCATAAGCTGTAAAGATCCAACAAGATCTAAGAGTTGACAGTCCTCAGATATGGCTAAGTCACAGCAGAGTGACATAAATGTCATATTGCAAATCACAACAAACACACTCATTCCCCATTCACGCTCAAGGCCTAAACACTTCAATCAGGACTACTGCACCGAGAAGCAGTCCCTCCTGGGGTCTGAGAAGGTGAACAGCCTGAACTGCCATGACTAATATTAAAAACTAAACCAGAACAAGTCCATTTAATGCATACAGCACTTATTCTGCATCAAATCTGGTTTCCGAAAACAAAGAAAATCAGGTTAAAATCAAGAATTTGTGTAAAAAGGCAGGTTTAATGCATCTTAATTCTGTGGCATAGGGTCAGATATACTCTGAATACACTTTTAATCAAAAGAAATTACCAAATTCCATCACATGAGGAGCATTGATTACTTAAAAGGGTCAAATTTTTCTAATAAAATAGTTTTACAAATCCATTTTCTTCACTTGAAACGAGGACTTATAAAAATCATAACACAAACAGGGGTCAAAAACTCCACACATCTTAACTTAATTGATCACGTTTGTGGTGGTTAACTTTCTGTCAATCACGTCATGGTGTCCGTGCATTAAATAAAATTACTGGACAGAATTATAACATTCTCTGAACTTCATCCTCCTGTCTGCTACTTCTGCAAACATTTTTCTAAACTCTCCCATCCCCCACCCCTCCTCCTCTGCTCCCTGTCTATGCTCTCTCAGCCCTCCGTAATTCCATTATGACTGAGATGATGTCATCCACCTCTGAACTCCATTATCACCACAGGAACAGGCTGACAGTTCTCATTACCATGTTATAATCCCCTATTTAACAAAGGAGCAATGAGAGAGGGAGCACAGACAGAGTGAAAGGAGGCAAACAGATGACACACAGGACATGTAATGCTGCCCCTCTGCAACCAATGCAAACAAACTCCACTGGGTAAGCAGCTCAATTTGTTGTTCATACATTATACTGATGTAATCATGTAATATTATTGCTCTGAATGCAAAGCCACATGGATTTTCAAATCACTAGGTTACTGTTATGTTGCTTATTTTTCTTTATGACCATTAATGTATTCTCTAATGTCCAACACTTAAAATAATTAATAGCTCTGTTTGTGCTGCCACCCAAAAGCTGCATTATGTTCTGCTAAGCTAAGTCACACCTGAATGTTTGATCTCAAGTTAAGAGTCCACAAAGACCTGTGCTGATGTGGTGAGAAAAGAAAGAGGCTTGAACCTTTTAACCCACAGAAGTTGGTCCAGCAGTGATTCTCCTACAAACAAAATGTGCAAATCTGCCTTTGACACACAGCTGTGCAACCTACACTCCTTTTAAGTGTGATAAAACACACGGTTATCTTGTTTTGAAAAGGTATTACCTTTTCATAAGGCCTAAAATGCGACTGAACACCAGGGATCAAAAGCTGTCAAGTAACAAATTAGATGTCAGCTTTGTGATCTTGTTTGTCTTTTCTATGATCAAATAGTTTCTAATTTAAATGAATATTTATGGGAATTTTATCTTTTTAGACTTAGGATCTTATATGGTTTATTGTATCTCGTATGTTGGTACTAGTTAGTAGTAAGTTATCAAAGGAATCAGCATTTTCCAACTGATTTTGAATCAATCGCATTATGAAATCTGAAGACTACAGACAAATTCTGTGGCTCAATCTAGGGCCCGGTGTCAGAAAGTTGTGTCTTCGTCAGGGGTCATGGGTCTTACAGCAGGACAATTACGCAAATCAGACTTCAAAAAGCACCAGAAATGGATTCAGACAATGACCTGGAGAGTTCTGGAGTGGCCAGCAGCTGGGAGAAGGAAGTCTTCAAATCAGTGAGACCTGAAGCAGGTGGCAAAAGAGGTGTGGTCCAAAATTCCAGCAGAGAGGTGGAGAAAACTCACTGATGGTTACAGGAAGTGACTGATTTCAGGTTTTTTTTTTTTGTTTATAATTCTGTTGAGTGCATTTTTGGAGTTCTGTGTGAAATGAATCAAATTTGGCTTTTTTTCCTGCTTTTTTGTTTTGTTCCAGTGCAAACAAAAGAAATAAACATGAGAATACCAAAGAATTTGTGACTGCAGAAATTTTCTGGGAGAAGTGGTGCATTATCTGACAAATCAAGGGGTGACAATATCTATGGCCTTTAATTGTTTGGGTTGACGGAGGATTTAGGACAATGATCTAGCTGATAACCAGCATACTATAAATACTTTAAAATGTTTTTTCTTTGGTACAAATTCACAAGCTGTCCAGACCTGTCCTACCTTTCAGGTACAGACAGGTAGATCCGCCCCACAGGAAAAACACTAATTTGACTTGAAGACAAAATGCCTTATTAGTATTTCGTGTTTTAATGGAGTAATAAAATTAACTAAAATAATAAAGAACCTGACAAACCTAATGTAATATTCTGTTCATTCACTGATGTTTATTTTGATTTTGCTAGGGTATGCTGGCAAACAAACTCATACGGTTCAGTTGTTAATGTTGATAAAGTCGCTCACTTCGACAACTGCTTCAGGGTCTTTATGCAGATTGCTGTCAAGTATAATCCTCTGTTGCACCTGACAGTATAACATTACCTTCTGTAGACTGCAATAGTCTCTCATCCAACAGCTACATGACTGTCACTTCTCCCTGACCACCTCTCATATTAGTCACAGATGCTTTGGTTCAGAAAGACATTTTTTTAGTAACTAACTTCACATCGGAACACTCACTCTTTATATCTGTCACAGAACAGCATGACTCGTCAGCAATGACATGTGATTGACAGCTGTACTATTATTATTTTTAACTGTTTCAGGGCCTCTCCCACTAAACTGACACATCAAATTTGGTTTTCTGTTCATCACAGCAAGATCTGAAGCTCTCTTCTTCACCTGACTGGACTACTACACCACTTACTATTGTTGGTCTTTGTGTACTGTGTGTGGCAACCATTCAGAAATGTGGCAAAAGGTCTCGTCAACGATCCACAAAAATCATTATTTGGATGAATTTGTAGCAAAACAAATTTGAGAGAGTTGTTAATTCAACCTTCATTTTCTATCTTTAACACCTTGTTTCAGCAGTTGCTCAAAATGCAGAGGCAGTGAGTCATGCATCATTTTAGTACTCGCCACAGATTGCTGATTGGATCAGTTGATTATCAATTTTTTCAAGCCTTGATTGCAAAAATTAAGCTTGTCAGATATAGTCTGACTTTGTTTTGAGTTTCCACATCACCTGCTTTTGCCTTTTCCTCCACTACAGTAACTGTCATTTGTACCTGTTCACTCACTGGTAAGTTGCATATTTATTGGTCAAATTGTAGAAACTGTCAGAATTTCTCAGGTTTCCAGGAAACAGCACTGTCAGTCAGGACTTATTTTTTCATATTCCTGGAGTTGACATACCACGTTGAAAAATATTCAATAACAATAATCTAGAAAAATCACAATTCAGCTCCTGCATATAAGGATCTTTTATTTTGGCATGCAAAGCTGACCCTGGCTGTAGAGCCATTTCTAAACTATACAAGACCCTTTAAAAGGCCTGTGGGGGGAACATATCTTAACTAAAAGAACAATGCGAGAGGGAGGGGAGCTTTGTGATGACACTGGTGAAATGGGAAAGCTAATGAAAATCAATCTACCTATTCCACTGTCTTGGACAGGGCTTGGATTGGAAAAATCTGCTGTGGTATGTTATAACACCACACCTAAACAGTCTAAATTGCAGTTTAATGCAGAGTCTAAGGAGAAATGCACTTCAGACTCCTGCCTGTCTTGTTTTTTTTCTTTTTATTTTGTTTCCCACTGCATCTTGTTTGCATGTTCTCCTTTGTTAACAATCATAGCATATTCAAAAAGGTGTATGTCTTGGGTTTTTGGTTTTCTAGTCCTAAACAAAAAAAAATTAAATAAAAAGCTTAAATAAATGATAGAAATGTACAAATAAACACAACAACACACAGCAACCAGGGCTGTAACACTCCTTGATAAACTGCTCTTACCAATGATGGCGTCCTTGTGTCTGTTCTCCAGCTCCGCAATAGGCACAAAGTCACAGTGCACAGTGGGGATGCCCTGACTGTCATCACACGGAACAATCGATGAATGAGCATTGAGGGTCATCTCGTAGTCGTGCTTCACCGTGGTGTACTGTTTGTTAGCAGGCTTCAGCGTAGCCTTGGAGATGTAGTATACCTACAGAGAACAGGTGAGCAAGGTGAGTTGGTATTATAAAATCAGACCTATTCAAACTGCTCATTTCCTGTGAATTTGAAGCAACTACGACTGATTGAATTGGGTGACCACATTATTAATCCTGCTAAGAAAATTGTTATTACAATTCAGC